GTAGATAAATACTTCCCTAACACTATTACATTTTAAAAGCAGGGCAGTGAAATAGAGAAAGACAAATACCATATGATCTCACTTATGTGTGGAATGTAAAAACAAAAATAACCTGAACCCATAGACATAGAGAACAGATTGGTGGTTGCCAGGAGGGTGGGGGGCGGGGAGTGGTGGCATGTGGGTGAAATGGGTGAAGCGGGTCAGAAGGTAAAAACTTCCAGTTATAAAATAAGTCCTGGGATATAATGTACAGCATGCTGATTATAGTTAATAATACTTTATGTATATTTGAAAGTTGCTAAGGGAGTAGATCTTAAAAGTTCTCATCACAAGAAGGAAATTATTTGTAACTTTGTAGTAATAGATGTTAATTAGATATATTGTGGTGATCATTTCACAGTATACTATACATATGTCAAATCATTATGGTGTACACCTGTAACTAATATAATGTTATATGTCCATTCTATCTAAAAAAAAATAGATGATTTTTTGGTTTTTTTATTTGCTACAATTTTAATTCTTTTTAAAGATTTTATTTATTTGTCAGAGAGAGAGCAAGCACAAGCAGGGGGAGTGGCAGGCAGAGGAAGAAGCAGATTCCCCACTGAGCAGGGAGCCTGATGTGGGGCACAATCCCAGGACCCCAGGATCAGTGACCTGAGCCGAAGGCAGATGCTTAACTGACTGAGTCACCCAGGCGTCCCTACAATTTTAATTCTTACGGAGCTTATTAGGCCTAGGATTTTGTTGTCTTTGTTTTCTACATTAGCATTTTGTTTTGTTTTATAGCTTATTTGTAGGTTTATTTTTGTTTATTTTTTTATATAGATAAAATTTATTTTATTTTTTGTAGGAACTTTTAAAATTTACTCTCTCAATAATTTTCAAATAAAACAGTATTGTTAACCATAGTCACCATGCTGTGTAGTACATCCTGAGAACTTTACTGTCTTATAATTGGAAGTTTGTACTCTTTGACCGCTTTCACGCATTTCACACACTCATCTCCCTGCCCCTGGTAACCAACCATCTGTTCTCTGTTTGTCTGAGTTCAGTTGTTTAGATTCCACATATAAGCGAGATCATGTAATATTTCTCTTTTTCTGTCTGACATACTTCATTTTGCATAATGCCTTCAAGCTCCATCCATGTTGTTACAAATGTAAGGAATTCCTTCCTTTTTTTAATGGGTAAATAGTATTACATTCTGTATATGTACCATGACTGCTTTATCCATTCATCCATCAGTGGACATTTAGGCTGATTCCTGTCTTGGCTACTATAAATAATGCTGCAATGAATATGGGGGTATGGATAATCTTTTCGAGATAGTGATTTTGTTTCCTTTGGATATATACCCTGAAGCAGAATTCCTGGATCATATGGTAGTTCTGTTTGTAACTTTTTGAGGAAGCTTCATACTGTTTTCCATAGTGACTGTATCGAATTACATTCCCACCAACAGTGTAAAAGGGTTCTCTTTTCTGTACATCCCCACCATACTTATTTCTCTTTTTTTTCTTCTCAAACTATTCCAAAAAACAGACAAGGAAGGAAAACTTCCAAATTCATTCTGTGAGGCCAGCATTACCCTGATACCAAAACCAGATTAAGACTCCACTACAAGCCAGTATCCCTGATGAACATGGATGCAGAAATTCTTAATAAAATACTAGCAAACCAAACACAACAATACATTTAAAAGAAGTCATTCACCACAGTCAAGTAGCATTTATTCCTGGTTTGCAGGGGTGGTTGTATATTCACAAATCAATCAATGTGATACACCACAATAATAAAAGAACCATATGATCATTTCAATAGATGGATTTTTTTGCCTTTATTATTTGGCATTTGACAAAGTATAACATCCATTCATGGTAAAAACCCTCAACAAAGTAGGTCTAGAGGGAACATACGTCAACATAATAAAGACATATACAAAAAACCCACAGCTAATATCATCCTCAGTGCCTCTATGTTCAGGAACAAGATAGGGATGTCTACTCTCACTACAGTTACTTAACATAGTACTGGAGGACCTAGCCACAGCAATCAGACAACAAAAAGAAATAAAAGGCATCCAAATTGGTAAGGAAGAAGTCAAACTTTGACTATTTGCAGATCACGTGATAGTTTATATAGAAAACCTTTGAAAGACTCCACGAAAAAACTGCTAGAACTGATCAGTGAATTCAGTAAAGTCACAAGTATACAAAATAACGTTGAGAAAGCTGTTGTATTTCTCTACACCAATAATGAAGCAACAGAAAGAGAATTAAGGAATCAATCCCATTTACAGTTGTAACAGTTAAGATCCCTAAGAATGAACCTAACCAAAGAGGTGAAAGACTGTACTCTTGAGAACTATAAAACACTGATGAAAGAAATTGTAGATGACACAAAGAAATGGAAAGACATTCCATGCTTATGGATAGGAAGAACAAATATTGTTAGAATGTCTATATTACCCAAAGCAATCTACACATTTAATGTAATGCCCATCAAAATACCACCAGCAGGGTTGCCTGGGTGGCTCAGTTGGTTAAGCATCCGCCTTCAGCTCAGGTCCTGGTATTGAGCCCTACATAGGGCTCTCTGCTCAGCAGGGAGCCTGCTTCTCCCTCTCCCTCTGCCCCCCCCCCTTTGTGCATGCTCTCTCTCTCTCTCTCAAGTAAAGAAATAAAATATTAAAAAAAAAATACCACTAGCATTTTTAGAGTTAGAGTTAGAACAAATAGTCCTAAAATTTGTATGGAACTACGGAAGACCCTGAATAGCCAAAGCAGTCTTGAAAAAGAAAAGCAAAACTGGAGGCATCACAATTCTGGACTTCAAGTTATATTAAAAAGCTGTAGTGATCCAGACAGTACGGTACTAACACAAAAATAGAACAGAGTGGAAATGGAACAGAAACACTTCTAGCTTAGGAATTTATGCCCTGTAGGTGAATTTCCATATTTTATGTCTTCTGCGTGAGACAATGACCTCAGAATTATTAAGGAAAGCATTGAAATTCAACTTCTGAATTACGAGAACTGTAAAAAGTGCTGAATTCTTTTTTTTCCCTCTGGGAAGAGACATCTCTTTCTGGAGAATTTTTTTTATCACAAGTTTTTAAAAATTCTATTTTTGATCTTTTACTTTCTTTCTCTTGCTTATTCTTTTCTTATACCATTTCCTTCTACCTTTTTTTCTCCTTTTCTTACTGACTTTTCTCCCTTTAGGATCCTGAAATAGTATTAAGCCACCCATTCTGACCAGTAAGTGATGTGACAGAGTAGTGCCATAAAGCCCTGGTTGATGTTTTTTCTGTATTTTTTATGAGTGGTTTTTTACTACTCTGTAGAAAAAGAATGCACTTGACCTTCTCTCTCCCTTCCTCAAGTAGGAACTCTAGACTTAAAAAATAACTCCTTTCTAAAGTATATTGGGATGAATACAAAGTGGAAAAGTTTCTATAAGATCAAAATTTCCCTCCAGGCATTGGGAAGTGTTTGCATTTCTGCTGCTTTTGCCTTGTTTTATTCTTAATGAGTTAATTCATTCAGGGCTGCCTCTCTTTCTTCTTGATTTTACTTTGTTGTGGCTTTTAACCACACCAGTTTAGATTAGAATTTTGCTAACACATTAAAATACATGGCTGCCAGGGGAATCTTTTTTAAAGGCCACTGTTAGTAACTGGATTTTCCTAACTGATTAAACCTGAAACAAAAGATGTTGGTAAAGGTCTTGATCTTAGAAGTACAGCTTTTGCTTTGACAAAGTATTTAGCCCAATTTATAGGAACATTTCTCTTTTACTCAAGGTATTTTGCATCAGAACTTTCCGAAGTATTTCCTAATAATATATATTTACCCCTTTAATATTTTTTCAAACCTTTTTAAAGAACTAATTATGTTTTATTGTCTATTAAATAAGGGAAAATAAGACATCTTCACCTCTACCTTCTCTTTAAATACATTATACATGCATGGCTTTAGAGTTTCGGGAGAAAAATTAAAGACTTGATAATTAGTTTTTAATTATTGAAGTTGCTTTGCATTCCAAAATGCACTGAAGGTACTAGTTATATTTGCAACAGGAATCTGAAAATTTTTTCTTGGTTCTACATGGGACTGTTGATTTCCGACTTTGCTTGTTCCATGTTATCTTGTAAAATCCTGAATCCTATCTTAGGAAGATACCTGTGTGTGGATAGCCATTTTCTTAACCTAACTTCATTTTTTTTTTAAAGATTTATTTATTAGAGAGAGATTGAGAGAGTGTGGGGGGAGGGGCAGAGGGAGAGGGAGAGGGAGAGAATCTTAAGCAGACTCCATGCTGAGCACGGAGCCAAATGTGAGGCTCCATCTCATGATCCTGGGATCATGACCTGAGCTGAAACCAAGGATCAGACGCTTAACCAACTGAGCCACCCAGGTGCCCTGTAACCTAACTTCAGTTTTATGGCATCACATTAGTAGTATCTATATGATTGTGTATGCTCCAGGCCATGTGATTCATACATGCTCGGTAAAGCAGTATATAGGAAAAGAGAAGGGAAGTAAGGGTCAAGTGGGAATTAGATCTCAGCATTGGCATTGGTTATAGTAACATCAGCAGTGAATCTCTAGTGATGCCTTTTTGAGAGATTGGAGAGATTATCTTGGAGAGATCAATAGTCGATCAATAGTAGTCTAATGGCTTGTTTGTATGTCTCACACTCAGAAAAACATGTCTTGTCATATGATTTTTGGCCTAATATTCAGATATGTACTGTAGTACATCTAAACACAAATCCATTTGAAATCCATGATAATTATTTCTCAATTTATTACTACTGTTTTGTCTTTGTAATATTTAAGCAGAGAAAAGCTTCATAAATTGAAGACCCGCTATTAGATATTTGATAATGCTCTATTTAAATTGAAATATAGATGGTCCTTTGGGACATGGTTTGCGCACTGCCACTATATATATGTCTGATAGAATTTGAACACTTTGCTTTGTAGGCACATGAGGCAACATTGGAAGCCAGAGCCAGTCCAGAGATGAGTGACCGAATACAGCAATTGGAGAGAGAGATTGCTAGGTTCAAAGATGAATCCAGCAAGGCCCAGGCAGAAGTTGACCGCCTCTTGGAAATATTGAAGGAAGTGGAAAATGAGAAGAATGACAAAGATAAGAAGATCGCAGAGTTGGAAAGGTAAGGATAGGAAAGCTGAATGGTGGACTTAACTGTGTTAGAAAGGTTTAGAAAGTATGGTTTTAAAACTGTATACTTTGGGGGGCATACTTGTTCAGTATATCTGCCTCTCGGAATTTAGGTTCTTGAGTGTTTGTATTATTTTTTTTAATCTACTTTTTATTCTGAGTCATTGTAAATTCATTGCTGCAACATCTGAAAGGCAACATCAAATGGGGATATATTAGGAAGCTGTGGACACCGGCATCATTGATTGGAAAGTGAGAAAGTATTCATCAATGAAGAAATTAAACTTTTCACTAGCTAATCATGAGGGTACACATAGCTACTTGCTTTTTAATTACTTTATTATCTACAGAGCAAATGAACCTCAAGTTCAAGGAGGTAATATTTTTTCATTGGCTTAGACCTTTTTTTGTTGAGCCCGATGCTCCTTTCGGCTTTGAATTTTTAGACTTTACGCAATTTGTATTGTGGAGAAGAAGGCTGTTACATCAGTGCATAGGTCAGATTTAGAAGAAGCAACATTTTGAGGATAATTTAAGAGGCTTGGATATGATTTTTATGGGTCTTTGACTTTGAATTCTTCAAAATGAGCTGTGTTTACAGGTCTAGCCTGACAGCTCTCTTGGAGTTTTCTTTTTTTTTTTTTGTAATTAGAGTGTTTTATACTAAAGATTAAGTATATGTCTTTCGACCTCTTCTTTTACAGCATGTATTTAACATAAATTTACAAGTACTTTGAAGTAATTCTTCTAGTAGAACTTCATTCATCACTCATATTCTTCTAAATAGAAACAACAGTGACAGAATGAAGTCATTAACCTATGTGGCTCCTTGGAGCTGATTCTTAGGAATATTTTATTTTCATGTTCTTCAAGATTGGGAAATATGAGATGACTTTCGTAAGTTGTTTATTAAGTTTAAAATTTTTGGGAGACTGGGAGACTTGAGATTCCCCCCGGAATTGATTTTTTTCCTGTTCTGTACCCATAGAATTTTGATTTTCAAGAAACTAAAACAATAAAGTCTAACCCTCACAGTTTTTCTTCACTATACTGATTGCATACTCATGAGATTCTTCTTACTTTGATATTAACTCTATTCATATTTTCTGGTTCTGGATAAGACGAATGGATAGAATTTTTTAGATTAGAATTAAAAATTACCGGTCTCCAGATGAGATTATTGTATTTTTATATGCCCCTTTTCATGTTTGCATTACAGTTTGTCCCCCAGCACACACACACACTTACATACTCACATGAACACATGCCTCTCTGCTTTTGTGTTGGCCTGAAATCAGCAGTGCTGCATAGGTTTTAAAATATAATACTTTTGATGGATTAGTGACTTCCCACCAAATATTTTAATATTTCAGAAGAAAAATTCCTGATCAAGTTTCATTTTTCGGTTTGTTTTCTTGTATTAGAAATCTACATTGAAATTATTGCTTGTTATTCCAGGCTGCTTGCTTGAAAAACTTTTTGATTCATTTTTGGACCTAATACTGATTTTTGGAGTTGGGTGTGACTTGGAAGATAGTAAGAAATAGGATTAAATCTATATTTGATACCCAAAGCACAACAAATTGCTTTCATTAACCTCTGTATTTCTCACATTTTGAGAAAGTTGTAAATTATCTACTCTTTCCACAGAATATAACTTAAAAGGTTGGAAAGCACCACACAGTTTTAGCCTCTAGCCAGGTACCATTGTTAATTTTGTTTTAGGATTTGACACAAAGTTTCTTGGCTATCAAAAAAAAGAAAGTTTTTAAAACTCAGTTTTTGCTACTGGCTTTATAATTTGTTGCCCAGCTATATAGTTTAAGATATGAATGATAGTCAGAGACAGTTAGGATTATATTATGCCTTTTGTTCCCATATTTAGTACTGAGGTGCATGTGTGTGGCTGCTGTGTTTCTTACTAACCATTTGCTTCTTGTGTTGCCATTCCACTATTTCCTATGTGTGGGTGTCTGTCTCCCCATAATTTATCATTTGAATTTCTTCACTTTTCTTTTGATTTGTCTTATGGTCCTAATCCATTGGGGTTTTGGTCTCTGTGTGTCTCTGTGTGTGTCCCCTCTTGGCCATGCTGTTTCTCAGAAAGCCAGTCTCCCGCAGTTTGTACCTTCCACACCAGGTTTCTGTCCCTGCACCGTCAGGGGGGTTTGTTTGGGCCTTCCTGGGAAAGTGAGTGTTATGTAAGGCTACAGTTCTGTACTAGACTGAATTGCTCCTGCCGCTCCTGCTACTGCTGAGGCTTGCTGGGAATTTTGCTTGATCAGAATTAAAGAACAGCCGGTATGTGTCAAGTTGAACTGTACCTCTTGGGTACTTTGTTTTGTGGAAAAAGTATGTGTTCTGTCTGGTACGATTCTGATATTGTTGCTTATGATTGTCTTCGTCTTTGTTTCTAGCCAATCTTGTATGTGGTTGTTCTAATGCTGGAATGCCCTTTAAGTAGTGTCCCCTTACTAGTGTGACGGTAGTGCCACACTGTAACTCAGGATGTAGAATTCATTTCCAAGGGTGTTCAGCAGCCTTCTAAATGCAAAAAGTAGACTGTTATGATCATCGAACTAGAGAAAATTCTTAGTAACCTTTGCATATTTCCTAGTGCTTCTTATATAAGGATCTCCAATGTTAAAAGGTTTAGATTAAAGAATTCATAAAGAATTCCCAGTCCTGTTCTTTGTGATCTAGATAAAAATGAATAGTCCCTTACATTGCCCTTGTAGAACAATAGTAGCTCCTGTTAGAAGATGATTCAGTGTTGTAGCACTGACTTACTGCATTTTTTTTTTTTAAAGATTTTATTTATTTATTTGACACAGAGAGAGAGATAGCGAGAGCAGGAACACAAGCAGGGGGAGTGGGAGAGGGAGAAGCAGGCTTACTATGGAGCAGGGAGCCCGATGCGGGGCTCGATCCCAGGACCCCTGGGATCATGACCTGAGCCAAAGGCAGACGCTTAACAACTGAGCCACCTAGGCACCCTGACTTACTATAGTTTTTATTTTTTAAAGATTTTATTTATTTATTTGAGAGAGAGAATGAGATAGAGCATGAGAGGGGGTAGGGTCAGAGGGAGAAGCAGACTCCCTGCTGAGCAGGGAGCCCAATGCGGGACTCATCCCAGGAGGCTGGGATCATGACCTGAGCCGAAGGCAGTCGCTTAACCAACTGAGCCACCCAGGCGCCCACTTACTGCAGTTTTTAAAAGGATTATGTAAGCCCACCATAGGTCTGCACATACAAAATATTTTCCCAATTAAATGTAAGAAGTATTACTTCTAAATTCATATTTTATACTGTGGTGTATGTAAGTTGGGAGTGCAACCAGAGAGGCAGAAGTAGTAGGAGAGATATATATATATAATGTCTGGAAATTTATTACAAGGAGTTGTCTTGCATGATTGTGAGGGACTGGCAAAGGAAGTCTGAAATCTGGATGGCTAGCTGACGGGAAGAGAAGATCACCAGCAGGATAGAAATCCCATGGGCACAAGCAAAAATTCTGCCAAGTCCATAGGCAGAATTTTTTTTTCTCACCTGTTTTTAGACGCCTTCCAAAGGATTCAGTTATGCCTACTCTGATTATCTGGGATAATCTCCTTTACTTAAATGGATTAGAGGATTTAATTATACCTGCAAAATACCTTCATAGCAACATCTAAATTAGTGTTTAGTTAAGTATCTGAGTGCTTTACCCTAGCCAAGTTGACATTTTAAAAAGTTATCATCAGGTGATTTTGGATAGTCTTAACAAATCAATTTAAAGAAGAACAAAAACAAAAATAAAAAAACCCTAGAGCTTTACCTGTCCTTATATAAGTAGATCAATTTAGATTAGCCTCAGGAACCCTGAATGTAGTTATGAATTTCTCTTCTAAAGTGATCATATTAGAGTTTCTTTTTAGATTTATAATAGAGAGGCTTATCTTTGGATAATGTTTAAAATATTGAAAGAAGAGTAGTGTAGGCTGATAGAATTCTGATTTAATATCTTTTCACACTTCTGCAATAATTGTTTAAAATTTTTTTAATTAAAGAAATTGTTTTTATTGAAGTATAATTGGCATATGACATTATATTAATTTCAGGCATACAGTGTAATGATTCAGTATTTGTGTAGATTGCAAAATAATCACCACAATAACTGCAGTTAACATCTGTTATGGTACACAGTTACAGAAAGTTTTTTTTCATATGATGAGAACTTTTAAGATCTGTTTTCTTAGCAACTTTCAAATACACCCTACAGTATTGTTAACTGTAGTCACCATGCTGTACGTTAGATCCCCAGGAAGTTTATATCTTTTGACAACCTCTAACCATTTCGCCGCCCCCCCACCCCCCAACCCATACCTCTGGCAACCACTTAGCTGTTCTCTCTACCTGTGAGTTCATTTTGGGGTTTTTTTGTTATACATATTTTAATTGAAGTAGAGTTGACATACAATATTATATTAGTTTCAGGTAGACAACATAATGACTTGACATTTATATACATTATGAAATGCTCACCACGGTTAAGTGTAGTGACCATCTGTCACCAAAGTTATTATATTACTGACTGTATTCCCTGTGCTATATTTTCATCCCCATAACTTAAATTCTTTTATGCTGGAAGTTTGTACCTTTTTTTTCCCTTTCACCTATTTCACCCATTCTACCTTCCCCCTCCCTTTTGACAACGACCAGTTAGTTTTCTGGATTTATGAGTCTATTTCTGTTTTTGTTTTTTTTTGTTTTTGGTATTTGTTTTGTTTTTTATTGTAGCATTTTTCTTTTTCTGTTTGACTTATTTCACTTGGCATAATACCATCTAGGTCCATCCATTTGTGCCAGATGGCAAGATTTTATTTTTTTATGAATGAGTGATATTCCATTATAAATATATATACCACATCTTCTTTATCCATGTGTCAATGGGCAGTTAGCTTGCTTCCATATCTTGGTTCTGGTAAGTAATGCTGCAGTAAACATAGG